CCCACGCGAGGAATAGCTCCAGTGATTCGTTTGCGACTGCTCCAATTTGATTTGTTGTGCTTGATCTCTGTCGCAAGCATTTCAATCTGCTCGCCGCTGACCAAAAATGTGTTTTGACAGTTCGCAGTTATTGTTTGATGCGCTGTCATGTGATGAGTTCATTAAGTGTACAATAATTGAGCGTTAAATGTAAAACTCGAGTTCAACTTATGAATGGGCGTGCGTTTTGACAGTTGGTCAAGACTGGTACCCAGTTTGACTGACTGACAAAATGACGAACTGGCAAACTGGCTGACCAGCTGACTGACAGGCTGACACTGACGGGCAACGCCAGCGCATTAGGCAAGTGAAATTGATACAACGAAAGTGGGCGAACCCGAGACCGAGTCGTGATCTAGCCCGTATCCGAATCGGTACTTTTTTTGAGCTGACCACTTCCTACTTAGTTTGTAAGTCGGCAACTAAGTGTATTGTATTTTATGCGCAGCTATCTAATTAAAACAAAGGCTAGGCTTATTTCTCAGCTGGCCTTGATAAGAACGATAGTTACTTACGGCCCAAAAGCTTTTACGGTGCAGCTGCGACAACGTCGACACTGAGGTCGCTCCTTACTACGGCCGTGGGCAATCTGAAGTGGAGCGCATTTGTTGTATTGAATTGCCAAGTGAAATTACTGATATTTGATGCTATTAACACAAATCTCTAGTTGCAATGCAAAGTTGCTTAGAAGCCGCCACGACTTGGTGTCGCTTATTGTTGCAACAGTGGCCGTTTACAGTAGGCCAGCCTCTAAGCCCAACAGTATCTCTCCCCTTCTCTCTGGCTTCCTATGTCTCTCAGAAACTATGCTCCCATGATATTCTTTTTAATGTTGGGTAGCGCGCGTGGCACATCGAAACGAATCGAATCGAGCAGACAGCCTGATGAAATAGATCCGCTTTAATATCGGTAATTAGGACCACACCTATGCGATACTCAAAGTGATTTTTATTACAATCTCTGCACCGTCGCGTCGCGTTGCCTCGGTTTGTTCTGTTTTATGGCTGCCTTTGGCCAAAACTCGACTAGTTTCCATTTGCTGTTATTGTTATTGGTACGAATGGTGTATTGTTTTGTAGTGTGGTGTTGTATTTTATTGTTTAAGTCTTGCATGTATACATATGTATACATTTATATACAAGTATATATATATCAAGACATACACATTTATACATACAGAAGTATCCATGCTGCTTTATTGAACCGCAGCCTCAACCTCAGCTTTGCCGCAATTACATGAAATTTCAAACAAAGTCTCGGCCGCATATCAAACGACAAACTGACCTTAAACTTGCCAGGCGGCTTTTGTTATGGCAAATAACAAATTCAAATAAACTATGCAGCGGTCAGCTTCTATGTGCAATTAGTTTTTACTATATAAGTCGTTTTTTTTTTCTATGTATCTGTTTTTGTATTTTTTATGTTTTCATTATTGTATGTTTCCTTTTTTTGTTTGGTTTTGTTTTTATTTTTTTGGTTTGGAGGTTTCGCGTCGTGTGTTGAAAGTTTTTTGATTTCAGAGCCAGGCGAGCGAACAGCAGGTGGTCCCCTGTTGCACCGCCGCCAAAAGCTAATTGTGTTTTTCTCACATTTGCAGTTAGGCACCGTTGCTATCGGTTTAGCCGAAGCTCTATCTCGGAGATACATAGGAGCGCATGTGCTCATATGTGCGCTTAAAACAAACACACAATAAATTGCCTGTGCACAGCATGCGTCCTTAGTGCTATGGTGCCGTCGAGCTGCGTTGCTGTGGTGCAGTCATTTGACGGTGAGGGGACTGTGCGGCCGTGCTGTGGTTCTATTTCATTTTGCGGCTGTGCCGCATTTTGCATGTTGTAAATTAAAGCAAGTTAGCTAAATGTGGTTCCTTTTTCACTCCGCGGCCGAGTCTTTCACTTAAAAAAGAGGAAATCGTTAGGATGCAACCATTAAATAGATATAATTGCCTGTTAGGCTTTGTGTTCGCAAAGTACATTCGTGCCAACATACGTTCCTGAATAAGTCAACGGTCAGATAGAATAAGCAATGCCTAAATATGCTTTAAGGCTATAATAATTAAATAAATTAGTATGAAAAAGAATTTCTACAGTTAATTCAATTAAAAGCCTGTCACAAGCTGTGTCATGTTATAGATAAATTTAATTTTTAATCGACTCAACATTGGTAAGTAGATCAAAAGATCAAAAAGCTGCGCAGCACATTTAAATAGCCAATTAATAAGCCACCTCCCATTGCTAAACGTTACGTTGACAGACACCTAACTACCTGTGTTGTGCCTGCTGTCAACATATCCAGGCGGTTATCTTCCATATCCATATCAGAACTTATCGCCTTACGACAACCACATGTTAAATTCTTAGCTCGGCGATTCCTCAAACCAGTTTGCAACTTTTCTCTGCATGACAACTTCAGCTTCATCCGACTTCGTGCTTCATTAGACATCAGATTTGTGATTGCCGCGAAAGCCGAATGTAAACTACAAAATTTAAATGTCATATTACTTGATACGCCCTAATGCTGATTCAATGTGTGCAAGAGGTTCACAGATTTTCACTTTGTATGCAAATGCTCGAGATCTAATGAAAGCAAAATTAATTTGCAACACAAAACTGAACAGACTGTGCCAACAGGTGCACCACAGCCTCCATACAGAATGGGAAACACATCACGGAGTATGGTAAAGCGCTCATGCAGATAAACAGTTAGGAAAGCCATAGGAGTGCCCCAGCAGGCATTTTCTTTGCCTTTACCTGGCAAGTGGATCACATGTGGACCGAGATGACCGAGTTGCTGCAGTCAACGCGTCCGCGACTTCATATCAAGTGGCTGTCGGCAACTAGTAGGCGTATCAACTGCCCAGTGGGGTACAGGCAGTAGTTTGAACATGCAACGAGGCGGCATTGTCCAACCTCTTCTCTTCACTTGCACAACGTACAAGCTTATCCAACCCGGACACGTGGAGGAATTTTGTGGTTGTTTTTAACTCTGGGCTTCTAAGTCAATTGTTTGCAAGGCGCAAACAGCTAACTGACTGGACGACAACTTTGACTGCCACTGCGAGTGGAACTGAGGCTGCCGCCAAGCAGTCTGGAAGGCCTGTTGACCGCTAACTGTTGACTATTGACTGTTGACTGTTTTCAATACTATATTGGTGGCAACTAGCTGTAACGAGCAGCAGAGGCAAACGCTGCTGTCGCTCGTATTAGTTTTAAATGCCACATTGGCATTGAGCAAACAGTTTGAACTCCAACTAAAGCTAAAAACAGTATATGAATAATTTTAACAAGTCGAATACCACATACACTTGTACAAACATTTTTAAAAAATTCCAATGGAATGGCAATAAATGAGAAGCAAGCGTAGATGTATTTATATTTTCTCATCTCAATTACGAAAACCTTATTTAAATTATAAGTATCAAGCCGTCTAATAAAATCCAGTGTACCCCTCACAAAGCCAACAAATGCCCTTCCCCGTTTATTGACATTAACGGCTTAATGCGTAGTGTAAATATAGCCACCGTTGGGACCACACACACACACACATATACACACAAACAAATATACAGATAGGCACACAGGTGGGAGATTTAGCCACCGTTAGATACTCGTGGCCATTGCCTTGCTAATTGCGTAGAAAGCAAACAGCAGCTGCTGTTGGCGAAGCGGCAATGTAAATCGTTGTAAATTGATTTTTTGTTGCTAGAAATTCTCAAGCACTTATGAAATTTTCGCTTTTTTGCCATTGGCGCACGCCAAACCAACAAGGAAATTATGCAAAATAGACACAAAAAAAATGTACACTGTGGCAAAAAACGCCACAAGAGGCAAAAATTTGGCTGCTCTGCCATTTTTGGTCAAATCTAACTGTTTGCCCGGTTGATATTATGGACATTGCATGCGAAAGTTGTAAATTAATAGGCGAAATTACGTGAAGTTTTCGACTAGGCAGTTGCCTAGTTGAGCACACACACAAAAATACATAAACATCTGTAAACCTTTTGACTATCAGTATACGCCCATTGCGGAACTTTCAGTCAAATGTCCGAAAATGGCCGCTGTAAATTGCCAATACATTTAATGCAGCTCTTTTTTCATGGACCGCGGCACTTACAAAACAATAAACATTTATTTTACTAGAGGACAGTGATTTGTTGCACTTACAGTAACAACTATAGCAACGGCTGCTGACAATTGCCGCTTAAAATTTATGCAGTTGCAATTGAGCTCGAAGTCGAAGTCTCTGTCGAGAACTATCTGAACCAGATCCAGGACGACCAACTGGGCGCGACAACGCGGCAGTCGATTTTAATTATGTGTCCAAAAATAATGACAACGTCAGGGGTTGCCCAAAAATGGCGCAGCCCGAGCGATTCCAGTTTTTGTGGCAGCAAGCCTGCATGTCGTACGCCGTTTGTCGTTTGTCAGTTGCCTTTAACAGACTGAAACCGAATCTGAATCTGAGTATCGCTCCGTAACTGAGACAGTCTCTCCAAGTGGATTGATTTTGTTTGTTTATTTACTTTTGGCCTGCACTTGCTTTGCATTTGCTTGACGCCCGCGCCCAGCCGGCCAACTTGAGTCGTTCCATTGGGGCAGACGCAGGGGCACGGCTGCCATTTTGGCTTGTCGTTACATTTGGGTGGGTGTTGGATTCAACACTTTCGCCAGCGCCACCAACACCAACACCACCACAGCCGCTGCCGCTGTCGATGCTGCCGCCAATTGGCAATTGGGTTATGGACTGGCGCAGGCTTCGTTCGCAAATTGCATTGATTTGTGTGGGAATGTGGCGTTAATTTGATTTGATTAATCAAAATTCATGCACAGATTTCACCTTAGACTCCATATCTCGCTATCAGCCTGGCTCCGACAGCAGCCTGTGCCAATGGGTCGTGCCCAGACGCTGACTTTATGTGTTCGTACAATATGTGTGTACGTACATAGGTATATGGCCAATAATTCACTCAGGCCTAACGGTTTATTAGCATAAATAAAAATAAAATTGATATGTTTGAACTATTTCCTGCAGCAATGCGCGCTACAATTTTCGTACATGACAACCAACAAGCGACTCCAACAAGAACAACCTGCAGCCAAACGAGCTACAACTAATGCCAGGCTGCAACTACAACCTAACTTAGTGCAACACACAGCACAGCACAGCACCAGCAACAGCACCAGCACCAGCACCTTGTTGGCTGCCCATGCGGCAACCGCAGCAGCACTAGCTACGACGACTCCAACTGCGGAATTGGTAGCCGCGCAACAAAATGTTGCGCTGTCAGCGGCGCATGCAAATGGCGTGGCCAGTCAGCAGATAAGACACAAACAGCGGTCAGGGGGAGCTTGACAGAGAAGCACGAGAAGGGTGTAAACCAATCCAAGAAACAACCATCATGTCTAATGGTTTTATACATACCAACATTTGGCACTTTGTGTAGTTACTGCACTAGCTCTATCTCAGTGGCTACTATTTAGGATCAAGCGTTTGTCCTAGTTCCTAATAATGGCTTGGTCAAAAAAATAATTATGTTAAAAAATATGCAATCAAAAATTTTGAGAATTGCTCTAAAATTTGTTTAAAATATTTTGATGAAATATTACTAAAAAAAAATAGGTTTTACTTGACTTTAAATCTAAATGAACATGATCTTGACACCAGCTCCATTTTGCGTATTTTTTTTTTTAACCTTTTCACCCTCACTAGAAGACATCCATAAATTAAAATTTTAATTTTGGGAAAAGGTGATTATGAAGTATGAAACAAATACAAGAAAATTCACAATTGAAAACTCATAAAATATAAACGTTAAAGCAAAGATGTGGTTAAACTGTGGACGAGATGTCAACAAGCTTTTAAAATCAGTTTAGTTTTGACAAAGTTATACGTATTTGAATTTTAGAACGACTATGCCCATACGTTGCTATAGCCACGCCCCAATACTACATCATAATTCGTTTTTTGCTTTGCCTTTAAAATTTGAATGACATGTTAATTTTACCATGCCACAGTTGGTGCAAAGAGTGAAGCAACACATGAAAACATGCCAGATACGAAACGAGGCGACACGCTCATTCGCCAGCCGCACCACGCCCTCTGCCAATACATAGCTCTAGACGATTGGGCCATTTGGATAAAGAAATCATTTATGCAAATTTTGTCGACAGTTTTTAAAAACTTGGCTGGCAGTCAGTCAGCAGCATTGCTGCTGGGTTCTGTCTGGGAGTCATCAACTTTTGATTAAAGCACTTCATTCCACGACACAATCAGAAATATCTTATATATTATGCATGGCATTTGCATAATCAGCTGAAGCAAGAGTTGACTTAAGCGGGTTAAGATGCAGGCGTTAACTGGACTAAACGGTACTGGTAGCAGCTGCTGCTGGCTGCTCACAAGCTATTCATATGCTAAAGCCAAAACTGTTAATGGCTCACTAAGAGCACCGTGGGTCTAAGGCTAATAATACGTCGAACGCCTCAAACTCATTACAGCTTTGGTTTTGGCATTGCCCGGCGTGTGTGGCCTATGCGCGCAAAGCAAACAGTAACTAATTTGCAGTTAACCCACAAATACCAGTGCAAAAAAAAAATTGAACAACAACGCGTGCTATTATTAACATTTTTCGAAAAACTATCAAAGCTAACGGCAGTGTATCGCAGGCAGTACAATAAGCCCGGCCATAAGCCATTCAAAGTGTAATTGATGATGAAAAAAGAGATCGATCATATTATGCGATCGTATATCAATCATGGCCACGACAAACTATGGGCACTCGCATATTCACTCCCATACTCGTGATCGTATGGGCATTTCAGCAGGCCAACACGGCGTATGCGTAACGTGTCGCAACGGAGGCATCACAGCTAACTGCCCCGGAGCTACAAAAGTCAACATAAATATTAGCGATAGTCAGTGGCAGTGGCGGACATGACAGCGCCACGTTAAATCTTTGGCCTGGCGCACGGTGCGTATGAGTAATGTTTTGCCTCGCCGATGCTGTAAAACTGTAATAAGACCCGACATTCCATTAAAACGAGTTATTCATAATAATTGGCCATTTCATAGCACAATATTTTTCTGGTCTCGTTTGCTCAATTGTTGCTTGTGGGTTCGCTGGATTGGTCTACTTTCCAGACTTGATTTGCGGGCGAAGCGTGTCGGCATCTGCTTCTAAAATTGCCAAAAGATTACGCAGCAAAACAGTTGACGCCCTTGCACGACGCACAAAGGGCAACAGAAAGAGAGCTAAGTACTTAAATATCTGGCCAACTCTTTGGTCATTCAAATTCGCAAATTTGCCTGCGGCAAGAGCCGCGTTCTGCGCTCCCTCTAGACCCAATTTCATGCTGTCTTTTTATTTGCTTTTAGATTTCTTTATTGCTTGTTTTGATTAATTTTTGTGGGGCAGCAAACATTTTTGGCTAGCTCATGATTGTGGCAACTCAAAGCTTCCGTTGTTAAGCGTTTTGATTTAAGACCGCTTTCTTGGCGAAACGCAAGCATAACAAATTGAAACCGTATCATGTGTTGTCCAATCCGTGGGCATTGGTCGAGAAGGCGGAAATAAATAAAGCAACACGTCGGGTCAGCTTTCTTTTAGCTGCTGGCTCACGGCGCCAGCAGTGGCATCGGATGATAAGTATGCCAATCAATAAAATGTATATCTATGGAAATAAGAAGCTCAATGGCTTTCAATCTGCATAACTAATTCACATAAATAGCAAATCATAAAAATAAAAGAAAATATTAGAAAAAAAATACAACAAATAAACGACTTTGATTCAAAAATCATTTATTGATGATAGACAAGCAACAGCTTTTTTTGAGTAACCAGTGCACAGCGAAGCATCAAATAAAGCATAATGAATTTTAGAAAACTTAAGACCAAATATGTTGTGCAAATGTCGAGCTAAAAACCTACAACAATAAATCTTTTTTCAACCATGTCATTTAATTGCAACAAAGCCACAACACAGAGGACCGCATCAGATCGAATCGAATCTAGAGTGTCTCACTATATAGAAAAACACCTGTTTTTACTAAAATTGATGTTTCTTTATTTGTCCGGCATCGGCGACCTTTATTTGATCGAAGAGCTCGGCAATGTCTGCACTTTGCCAACTGCGATTGCGGGAGAGAGCAAAGAACCAGTTGGCTGGCCATGTCTGTGCTCCCAGCCGGGCCTGTCATTGTCGGCCTTGTTGTTGTCGCTGTAGCCAAAGCAAAAACAGCAAAAACAGCAACGAAAAAAGCCGTTAAAGTTATTTTGCATCATTAGTATGATATGTGTGCCTGTATTGCTGTTGATTTCTGTGCGCCGGCTGTGAGAATTACAAATGCTCATGTTAGTATACACACATATGTTTGTAAGTGTGCGTATACTCGCAGTCGAGCTCACATATTTTTCAACATTTAATATCTACCTTGACTTTGATAGGCCATAATGCCATAATGCCGCCACATGCACGCGGCAATCCAAAGCTAAAGCTGGAGCTAAGGTTGTTGCCGGCATTGGGCATTTGTCTGGCCCGGCCGTGCTGCACCGGTGCTGTAAATTATCCGCAGTTAGTGACCCGGCATGGCTGCATTGGCATATTTCAAGCGCTAAATGCATCATTAGGCAATTTGATTTACAACTACAACCAAAGCAAAGAACACGTGTTCCGATGCCTCCATGTGAATATGCATATAGTACACATTTTAAATATTGATATGGGACTGTAGCGATTGCCCATACAATTGCATTTCAATTTGAATTGAATTTGATAACATGCACGGTTATTTATGAATCGATATTAGTTTGTTGTATTGCAAACTGGCCAAACGATTTAATTAAATATGTTCGCAAAATGTTATCAAAATGTGTGGCCGAGCAGCGGCTGTTGTAGCAACTGCAACCAATTGGTTTTGGCCTGTAGCACATTTTATTTTTTTGGTCAAAACGAGATCGCAGCAAGTGGCACGCAATGCAGAGCTGCAGCTGCTGGCTGCGATGCTGGCTACCTGATGCGTATCGAGCGGCATTTTAAATGAAGCGATTAAAATCGAACGCCAGCACAGTTACACATTTTGCCAGGCTTGTAGCCCGTTTACTTTCCTGAGCCCCAGTACACCCCCCAAACCTCTCCTGGCCTTAGGCGGCCATATGTATCTTTTAATTCAATCATTTTTCTCACAGCTACTGCTGGCAAGCGCATGAATCATGTGAATTGAGTTACATGAGATCATATTCCGCATTGCGCATGCCAAAGTAAACAGAGGAACGCACAGAGAGTGAGAGAGAGAGAGAGAGCGAGTAGTGAGAGAAAGAGAGCTCACGTCGCTATGTTGCGCATACACCGTGTGGGCCGCTTTATTAGAATAAGCAAACATACCGAAAATCGTATGGCAATAGCGGTCAACAAGCAAGTGTGTATGGAACACCCACAGCTTGTTAAACACTGACGCGTATCTATTAGAGCCTAAGAAGACGACAAGTAAGCAGACCCAGCTCCAGCTGCGACCGTAATGCCATCGGCAAGCAATCAGATGCCAATGTTGCCATTGGGTATATTAGTTATTTATGCGATTGTTTGCTTTTTAAGGCACTCATCGATGGTCTTATGCCGATTGTCATTGACTAATGCCACTAATTGTTATTCTTCACGCAGTCGGTGGCCCAGCACTCTTGGCATCCGTGGCATCCCGCTCATCACCTAAGCCTGAGCCTATGTCACTTACACGCATGCACCCGTCGCATAAATCAGCCTTAGTCGTTGACCGAAAATAAAATAAAATAATATATCGAAAACAAGAAAAAAATGCCCAAAAATGCCTCTAATGATTTGTTTGTTTATGTCTTGGTAATGAGCTACCAGCTCGGATCGGGTCTGGTAAGCATCTTGTATATAGTTCGTTTCATTTTCACTTCATTGGACTTCATTCGATTTATGACCGCCTACGCACAATGTTGCCTTAAGTTTGTCTCATGTCAGCATAAATTTGGCTTAATTGATTTTAAATTTGAGCATTTTTAATAGTTTGCAGACCAATTTCCGACATGTTCAACATATAAAGCATATAAACTGAATCGAGAAAAATACATATATATATTTTTTATATTTTCGCTTAATGGAGCTGCATACCAAATAAGCTAGACTTGGATCTAGGGTCTCCATCATTTGGATTGAGCATGAATATGTATGCTTAAAATGTTAATGTAAATTAAATTAACGAGCCCTAAGCATTTTATATAATTTATTTTTTTCAATATATGCGCATTTATGTTAATTGGATCATTTAAATGTTGCCTCATTCTCAATCATGTAAAATTTGACAAATGTTTTGCACTCAGCCAGAATCCAAATAAGGCGACTAATTGGTTGTAACTTCTAGTGAACAGATCGCGGAATGTGTACATTTCAAATGCTTAACCTTCTATGCTTTTGAAATAGTCTTCCATCAACTTCGGGAACATAATGATAAGATAATCGACAGTAAAAAAGATAATCCAATCCAACAGAATTAATTAAAATTAGCTGACAC